CCAGTAATGAGACGGAGAGGAGAGTGCAGAGGATAGAAGCGGGAACAAAAATGCTGCAAGACTACACGTGAGGCTCTTCCCTGGTGGAAGAGGAGAGATATAGTCTGGAGAGGGACAGAAAGGAAGAGGTCTGGGGGTAAAGAAGAGCAGCAAGAGCTGCCACAAATGGAGTATACTTGCCTCAAAAGCTTGAAATGTCCAGAGTATCTGATTTTCATTGACCAAAGTCTGTGCTTCATCTCCCCCAGCTGTTGACATTAAAAGAGGAAAAGTATAGTCTGACAGCACAAAAGTAGCAGTTTGATCAAAGTTTTCTGTAACTGCTGGTGAATCATGTGAAAGCTGATATGTTTACATTGCTTTTTTTTTTTTTTTTTTTTGGTAAAGTAACCAATTTAACCCAGCCTCTACGAACACCTGTCCTCAGAAGTTGAGATCACAGGTTCACGACCAAATTAACATTGAATTGGTATTCAGACTATTTCTGTATATCTTGTATCAGTCTATACCACATTTTTGCCTCATAGAGCCTAGGGTAAGCTGGCACTTTGAGGGTGAATAAATGCTTTGCGGACAGAGAAGACTGTCAGTGCTGAGAGTCCCTTACACTGCATTCTCACAAGCGATCGCTAATTGTATTCCTCTTTTTCTGTGCTCCTAACCTGAAATCTGAAAAATCTGGAGAAGTCTTGAGCAATTACAGCTGTGACTATGGTCATGGGACATGGTGCTGTAATAAATACGCTGCCCTCTTAAAAGTCAGATGAGGGACCTCAACCTGAGTATTGCAAGCTAACATTTTTTTCACCGTTTCTCATTTTTTTTCCTTTCATTTTTTCCATTTGAAAATTCAAAATGATGCCATCTAATCTGAAAGTGCATTTTTATGATAAACTCATTCATGGTTTTAAGCTGCTCAGTTGCTGTGGTGATCATTAGAGAGAGCTGAAAGGGAACTTGATAATTAGGTCGTGCAATACATCTCTCTCAGAAACTTATCAAGCTCCCCCTTGAAAGTAGTGAAGTGTCCTGGGGCTGGAAGGCCTTTTCAGAATCTCCGTAGCGTGGTGGTGAGGCACCAGCTCCGGCGATGCCTTCCTGTGAGTTCACACCAGAGGCGTTCTCCTACCAGCCCTAGCTCTAGGCACTTGGTACAGCTGCTGCTGTATATCTCTGGATAATAATCACATCCCCTCTTACGCTGCTTTCCCCATCTAAAAAAATACAACTGTTTTGATCTTTTCTAATGATTGACTCTCTGTTCATCATCTTAGAAATATTTTATTTGTCCCAGCTGCAGTTTGTTTACTTGAGAAGGCCTGCTTAGAATTACACGCAGTGTTCCAGCCTGGACCACGCTAAGCACCTCGTACACTGGCCTTACAACCTGGCGACTGGGGGGGAAAAACACAGTTGCAGAGGGATCACGGTTTCAGCCAATGCAATAAATGTCAGTGATCCCATGCAAAAAATAGCATATGATTAAGCCAGGAAAGATGTGAAATCCTTTTGCAAAAAAGAGCAGCATTAAGATTTTATGACCATTTTAATGCTAGTATTTCCTAGCTTATGCCAGCTACTAATTACTACTGGTATGGGCAGCTGATCTAGTGAGTACCCTCAATAGTTAGAAATAACAAGCAAGATATAGATTAAAGATAAAGATAAATTTGTTTTAAGTTGTTAGGAAAGATTGAACTGCCACAGCATTCTTTATGTTCCTATAATGTATATTTTGCCTGATGGACACAGAAAGCTAATAATCACAGAGGATGGAGTAGCCAGTTTATTTTTGCTAATGGTTTCTAGAGTCAGGTAGGCAGTCAGCAATGATATACTGGATTATGAATGTCTTATTTTTCAAAGAATATTTGACATATTTCCTACGAATCCTACTGCAATTGTACAAGGGTTAGCAAGAAGATAGTTTGTGTTTTTTGACATTATTAACAAGTATCTTGGTGTAGTGCAGACAAAAAGAGCATTGATAGCAGTCTTTTAAAAGAATGGTGTTGGGGAATGACCAAAAATTAGCTGGTTAATCAAATAAAAAGGAATGCTATCGTTTTTATGGTTTGCATGACAAGCATGTGATCTATTTAAATAGCTATAGACGCATTTGTGTATATAGAAGGAGACAGCTGGCAACATCAATGAAGCATGCAAATAAGATCAAATGAACAGTGCATTTAAAAAAAAAAAAGATTTAACTACCTTTTTAAGGAACATCATTGAAAAATTACAATTAGTATTAAAATTAATTGGATTTTAAAACTTATCTGTAGGTTATAATCCCTTGATGTTTCTTTTTTCTAGTGAAACCCTTTGAATTCCCGAAAGATAAAGATAAAAATGATTATTAGAGGATTTATCTGTATGTGATATAGAAAAATGTAAAAAATCAAAATGGAAAGCAACTGTTGCAAGTACCAGAAAATTATGCTATTAATTTAAGTGTCATCAGAGCACAAAAGATCACATTTCAGGACTGTGTGAAAATTATTAAAATACTGGAAATAATATCTTCATCTTAAGTACTATTATACTCTAAGATGTGGTTAAGTGACTGACACTGTTATATCACTTCAGGTATTATAAAAGTAACAAAATGCTTTTAAAGATAATAAGCGTTACATTTTGAAATTGGCAGTATTCACACTTTTCTGCTTAAGTGCTTTCCTACTTTAATATAATTTAATAACAGCGGGAAAAATGTAACGTTTTATTTCTAAACTACACCACTTCTTTCTAAGATACGTATGTATAAAATGTAAAAACATATTAAGTATAAAATCATATTTCTTCACCTGACAATATTTATATAATTTGCTTCTCCTTTTGTCCATGTGAGAAAGGAAAAAAAGAAAAAAAAAGCCTCTTTAAGAAGTGATCATTTAATTTGCTTTTTAGTTTTGACCTGAGAGCTTGTTCCCTGCCCAAAAGGTAAATGAAATGTGGCCCTTGTTATATCCTTTTGTTTTTGTTTTGAAATGCACTTTATGATCTCTTTGTTGGAACTGAAAAAGTCTCAATTGTCCTTTATTCCTCCTGCTTTTTACTCATGCATTTTTAGTTATGTTCTGTGTAAATGATTTCAAAATATCTTTTAGTACTCCCAAATGATTTCTCTTTTTCTGGTTTTGAGACTCCAACCACTTTCTTTTTTCCTATTTAACCTTCCTTCACTGCCTTTCTTTTTATTTTTTCTAATTTTTTGACGCCTTCACTTTTTTCTGTCTTAGCTTCATCTATCCACGTTAAGCCACGTTCTCGCTGCCCCTTATTTTCCTCCTGGTCTGTTCAAGACAGTTCCAAATTCCTCCACTGCTTCCATCTTATATCAGATTCAAGCTTCCTTCAACTCAGAATGTTTATTACTCCAAAGAAAACTCACCTCTTTTCTCCTCTTGCATTCTTCACCTCCTTTCACCTCCTTTGGTTCCCTAAATTCATAGTCATGTATTGCACCCTCTGGGTATCTGCACCTGGAAAGTTGTTAACTTGGCTACTGAGTGTTTTCTCTACTTAAGTCTTTTCCTTTAGAAATGGTTACTTTTTTTTGCTCAGTAATGATGTTTAAAGCATCTCTTTTAAATTGCTGTTCTGTATATTGTCCTGTTAATCGTAGATTCTCTGATTCCATCCAGTCCAGTCTCAAATATTGAAATCCCTTGAGTGTAATCCTCTGATTATTGCATGATTTCTTCTTCTATCTCTTGCCATATTTAGATGGTTTCAAGTTCAGTGCTAAGTACTTGTTTTTATAATGCTTAATTTTGAGACGATGACACTCTGAGGTTATATTTCTTAGCTTATGTATTTTTTTTAAAAAAATTACTTTAATTATGTGGGCATTTCTGGGTATTTCTTGTTTGGTACCACTGCATTGTTGCTCAGCTGAAGCAGAAGGAAAATGTTATAAGCTGTGAGAGTTAGGAAGTACTTTTCTCCGCATTGTATTATTAAAATGGTCAGTGCACAAAGACATTTATTTCCATATACACAGTTTCTTTTATCATATTGCCTTGGATCAAAGCTATCAGACAGTATTGTTTCAAATTGAAAATGTAATAAGTGCTTTATATATGTTTAAGCTAGAAGTACTTGGAATATAGCAACTTACTATTTTAATGACAGTAGGGCGAGTTAAGGGAATTTCTTTTTCTGTAATACCACTAAGGCATTACTGGAATAGCAATGTTATTTGTAAATGTATTTGCATTTACAGGAATGAAGTCCAGATTGTCCTCTGTGTTAAACAGTGCAAAATTAACTTCTCGTCTGGAAGAAGTCATGTCAGCTGCATGCTTTTTAACCTTTCCTCCTCATTCCGGATATATTTTATCCCAGGATTTCTGGTTTTGCTGCCCTAGGGTCAGGCATGAGGGAAAACATGGTCCTGAAAGTATAGTTTTTATATATATAAAATATCTTTAAAGTAAAATACTTGTGATAGAATCCGTTCAGTGACTGGAACAATCAACTCGTACTTGTACTGTTAGTTTTTGCCAAGGTGATGAACAAAAGGGTGCTTTTTCTGTCAAGCCTGTCTTGTAGCAAGCCCATCTTGAAGCAGGAATCACTCATCAAGAGGACAAACTCAGAAGTTTAAGAGCAGATAGTGGTTATTTTTGCTTACATTTTACAGTAGTTTATTTTACAAGTTAAAATGAATAGTTTTTATCAGTTTTCAAAATAGTTTTCTGAAGAAGAATATAAAATCAAATCCAGGTTTGGTGTACTTATGTATGTTAGAAATTCGATTAGAGTATTTATTTGTACTCAGAAATCAGCTATGCTTCATTTCTGTTGTTTGAATTGATAATGCTGTATTATTATGTAAAGATCAACGTTTTTCGCTCTGATTATGTATATATTACAGTTGTGTATGTACTAGGTTGTAATGCTTCTAAAATTACCTACATTTTGTTTTTTGATTATTCTGTATTGCTGTAGGTAGAAATCTATGTAAAATTTGTTTAAATTTCTTCTTTTCTTAGAACTCCTTAGTAGACATTCATAATCAGTTCTCGGCAGCATTAGAATCACTGAAAGAGTTCTGGGATGCTATGGATGAAATAGATGGGAATACATGGGTACTTGAGCCAGAAAATCCCACACGGAGTGCCACAGTAAGAAGAATTGCAATAGGTATGAAAAGTTTTGAAGGAATGCAAGGGATTTTAGAAGTAAAAGTCACAGTGCTGCTTTGCTTTGCTTTGCTTTGCTTTCCTTTGCTTATTTAAGAAGATTGTCCCTGTTTCAATTACAAAAACTAAAGATTGCACTTGAAAACAATAAAACACAGAAGTCGTTACTGTATATAAAAAATTAACCTTCCACAGAATACTGAAGTTGTTTAGGAAATTAAGTATAACTTTACAGTGTTAAATATAAAATGAAAGTTCCTGTAGAAAAATCTTGTGCATTTGTAAATTATGAACGCCTAAGTGTCAAAGTTGAGGACTCCTATAATTCTAGAAAATCAGGATCTATAAAAATATAGTTCTAAACAATCCCCGTCTCATTCTCTCACCAGTTACAGATTTTTCAAGAGACTATCACCTCAAATTAATCTGTCCTGAAAGAGCAAAGCAAGAATTAGAGTACAGTCAAGAGAGGAAAAAACGGGTTAAAGGAGGCATGTGGAAAGGACAAAGAAATGAGAGAAGGAAAGGAAATCAGAGGCATACAGTGTTAACCATCTGAAAAAGTACCTTGATTTGTATGGTGATGCGTGGCATTTTAAGGTATTAATATAGAGAGAATAAGGGGTCTTGTACTTGCAAAGGAGAAACTTGCCACTGTCAGAGGTCAAAAATACAGGGGGAAATGTCATATTTGAAAGAAGATTTCTGATTTTCAGCTTAAGCCCACAATGTCAAAAGTTTATTGTAAAAATCTGAGAACATACAGTGGACAAAAGTAGACCTCAGTTGTCCCTGAAACCTGCAGAAAGACTGATTGCCTGCAGAATGAAGAAGGAAAGGAGCTAATGTCGTTCTGGGGCTGCTCCTTCATTGGCGGTGGTGGGAGTGACGAGAAGAGCAGGGAAGGAGAGACATTCAGCAGGCAGCTAGAATGTCATGGGTCCAACAAAACTCTTTTTGCGCAGTTAGTGCAGCTTTGTCTTGGTTCTGCTGTACTTCGAAAAAAGACCAAAGAAAAGGAACGAGAAGCCTCAAAAGCTTCCTCGCATCACAGGAGGATGATGGAAAGCTCTGAGGCCTTTGTTGTGGGTCGCAGATGATCTTCAGCTATGAATAAGCTTTCAGATTTCATTCATTCTCATTGCGTTAGTCAAAATACTGGCAGGATTCACTTCCAGGCCAATTGGTCTTTCCACTCTAAGCACTAGGATGTGGATTCTTCTGGCTGGGAGAGAGATTGCCCAAGAAGTAGGTCCTAAGAAACAGGCAATCCAAAAAGTACTTCCCATCCTCGAACCAGGTCATCTTTTGTGGGGAAAAAAAAAAAAAAAATAGGCACAGGTGAGAGGGGTGTGCCCTTGAAAGACCCTTTGAACACTAAAGGATATTACTTTTCCTTCAAAGAGAGCAGACTTTACAAACTTGTTAATTTCACAAACTGATGGGTTTTACATCTTTTCATTTAGAAGAGTATTTGCTGTGAGTTTTTAAACCACCTAGAACACTTTGAGCTGTTTACCCCTTTTGAATGGCAAATCCTATGAAGATTTTTTGATGACGTGCTATCTTTTAAAAGAAAAATATTTGCATGTAGCTTGCTGCTTCAAAAATAGGCCATTGCTTGCTCAGTCCAGGAGTATGTTGTAGAGGAGACTTATTTAGTTGATTTTACTGCTTAATATTGTCTTTATCCTGTTTTTGACCATAAAAGATGCAGCATTAACATCATCTGTACTACTTTTAAAATTTCACTAAGATTTCAGATTGATTGTGTCATGTAGCTTGAGTTTGATTATTCATAAATGGAAGTCTTAAGGTTAAAACTAGTTTCTTAGGAATGTAAGACTGGCAAATATTTTAATCACTCGCTATTTTTCATGGCAGTCCATTGAAATTGAAATAGAAGTACTTAGTGTATACTGATATTTTGTTCAGTTAATTCAGATACCTGTCGACTTTTCCATTATTTGTAGTAATGAAACACAGCCTGCATTAAGTATTTTAAAACTGTTAATCTTGAGATGTGACTCTCAAGAAACTGTTAATGAAACTGTAAACTGTTAATGTTTCAATTTTCAAACAGATCTTGAACATCTCTCTGTGACTGCAAATCATTTATTTGCTTTCTTATTGTAGGGAACAATGTTTCAGTAAACATAGAGGTAGATCCTAGGCATCCAAACATGCTTCCTGAGTGTTACTTTCTTGGAGCAGATCACGGTAAGGCAACAGACATATATACCAGTTGTTGCACTTTTCATAATATGATCTCTGGTAAGCAGATACAGTCTAAGCTGTATCAGTCTCCTGGGATAAGCTTTACTTGAAGAGCCAGGAGTTATTAAACTGAATCTGTGTGTAAGGGAGTTTTGCAGAATGGCCATTGGTTTTTGTTTGTTTGTTTGTTTTACAAGGTAAATTCAAGGCATGCTCTTTTGCTGTGTTAATTTGAGAGTCACATACATTTTTTTTTTTTTTTTTTCCCAGTGCTTTCCTAGAACAATTTAGGCGGAACCCTGTGTCCTACAGATGTTCACACAGATGATTACCCAGTCATGTTTATTTTTTAATATAATTTTGTTTTAAAAAAACTACCTCGCATGCCCTAATAATGTTTGGAAGTATATGTGAACTATTTCACTTTGTTTCCCACAGCTTTTTACCAACTCCTTAAGGGAAGTGAGATCGATCATATCTTCAATAGTATGATGTTTTAAATGTTAGAGTAATGTATTTCTAAAACTAATCACTAAGCACACAGTCCTTGACTTAGGTGCCTTAAATAGTTGCAAAAAACCCTTCCTGTAAGAGGTGGATCTGGGGGAAGGGCTGGAGAAGGGGGATCCTAAAGATACTGTAACTATTTATGTATGTATGTTGTTTGCAGTGGTTAATCCTTTAAGAACTAAGCTGAACAACAACATGCACTTGTGGTAAGCATCTTTAATAATAGATATTTGAAATTAAAACTGTATTTGCTGTTCCTAGTGTTGACTTCTTCCCTTCATCATTTGCAGGGATCCAGAAATCAGCCTATTACAAAACTTGAAAGACATCTTAGAAATTGATTTTCCATCTCGTGCTGTGTTAGAAAAAAATGTAAGTTGCTTTTTGTTAATGATCAGTTGTTATTTCTGAATAAGTAAAACTTAAATGGTCATTTTATAACTGCCAGCAAAAATAAGAGACTTAGAAGAGAAGTAATTGGATTAATATATTGTCATAGGGACTTTTGAACTTCAAGCAACAATTGTCAGAGCTTGTTAACCTTTGATTAGAGGTGCACACTTTCCTGTGGCCTTCATAGTGAAGCCTGTTATTAATCGCCTTACTGCTATTAAAAAGGAAAGAGGAAGTTCCAGAGTAGCTAATGAGATGTGGAAAATCCAAACATTCTGCTATGGATGTTGATGACTTCAAGTTCTAATTAGGTAGAGCTGCTTAGGGGGGGACAAGAGGCCATCCAAATACGGGTGCATTTCAAACAAACTTGGAATTAATTTTTGACAATGCTGTAACATTGGATTACTAACTTGGTTTTCACTGGTGAAATTCTTAAATTAGTATCTGACCTGTGAGGTCTTGTGTCTGATGTCCAAATATAATGACAAAACATTGCGTTTAATAAGGAAAAAGAAACTGAGGCCCAGGAGCATTAAAACGTTTGTCAGACTGGACGTAATTCAGTGAGAGGATAAAATAAAACCTAGCAAAGGCTTGTATATCTTACAACTAATCTTACTCTTCATGATGATGTAAACATATACTTAGTATAAGGCAAAAATATTTAGTAATTCTAAGTCATAAAAATTGCAAACCCAAAGGCAAAGAGCCAAACGCATTTCTGTTACCAGCCCTCTTTTCTCCTTTCAGTCCTACTGTACGCTAAAACATGTTGTGTTTTAAGGATTTTACTAAGGACTGTGGAATCTGCTATGCCTATCGACTTGATGGCACTATTCCAGATCAAGTGTGCGATGATCCCCGATGTGGACAGCCTTTTCATCAGGCTTGCCTGTATGAGGTAAAAGTGTTATTAATGGACAAACTCACTTATTTTCTGGGATCTGTAAGTAACAGCAAAGTGTTGCACAGTTAAAATTTCAGTTGAGGCAAAATCCTTTGAGGAAGCACAGTAATTTTTCTAGCAACCCGTTTATCTTCTAACCCACAATTCATCAGTAAGCTCACTGGAGAGGAACCTGCCTCAGTTTGTGGTTATACAGAATCTAACTCAACAGGCATCATGTCAGATGTTTATCAGATGAACGCTGTTTGCAAAAACCTCTGGTGCACAGACCATTTGTAAGTTTGATATAAAACAAATGTGAGTTTTAATTCACTGATTTGTGTTGCAGTGGCTGCAAGGTCTTCCTTCTAGCAGACAGAGTTTTAACGTCATCTTTGGTGAATGTCCATATTGTAATAAGGTAAGGAAATATAATGTAAATGTGCAACTGAACTACATAGTGGGTAGTAGCTTAGATAAAGGCAAAAATCATAACAAAATCGTTCCTGAAATAAAATTTGTGGCTTTTATCTATTTTTTTATCTTGTAAAATAAAGAAAGGAAGAGTTTTGAGGTAGACTCCCATACAGTCAATACAACGTTTAACTAAAGAGATGTTGAAATTGAGAGCCTGAAAAAGGCTAGAAATGAATTATTAAGATACCACAATGTTAGAATAATTAAATATAATGCCATGATATTTCATGATATTTTTTAATGTTGCTACAGCAAAGGACTAGTTTCAAAAAAAAAAAAAAATCCCAACACTTACGGTACAAAACAGTCTAATAAAAATAGTTTAGTGCCTATGTAACTTGCTTTTAAAAGATATGTATTTACAGTAATATTTTACAAAAATCTTTTCCAAGCCCCTGACATTGAAGTATTCCATGAAGAAACTTTGAAAGAAAAACATCTTGATATGAACACCACCACACTTAAACTGAAGACATTTGAAGCAGTCACATCAAAGAAAATACAAAGAAAGTAGTATTAGTAACAGGAGTACAAGTATAGTTATACTGTAACAGTATATTTCTCCAGTAAATGCAACCCTAAATCTAGTGGATATACAAGAACTAGTAATGTCAAAACTGGTTTCTTGCAAAGATACCAGATCATCTGTCGTTAAGCGTTGATCTTGTTTCTTTTTGGCTTCCCAGAATACTACTTGAGGGTGGAAGTGGGGTAATTCTCTTCCAGTGTCTTTCTGCAGGGGTGAAAAACAAACAACAACAACAAAAAACCCCAAATCTTAGTATTTAAATGAGTGAGAGCTGAATCAGAAAAACAAAGATACCAAAGATGGTACTAAAGTTACCCCTGAGAAGGCAATGCAGTTTTGACAAAGTCTTAACTCTGGAATTTGCATGAATTTAGTCATGCATTATGATTCAGCCTTTGAAACAGCTATACTCCATATTTATTACTGAAGTCAACAGCTGATGTTCCTCTGTACCTTTAATTTTTGTTCCCAACAGTGTTAATAAATAAAGTGTTTACAGTAGTCCTGCTAATAAAGTTTTAGCCTGGAAACTTGGACAATACTCAGAAGTTTGATTTGCTGTTTCAATTTATGTAAGGTTTTTATAAAGTTCTTGCCTTTCATAGTGAAGCTGAACTGCTGATTCATCACAGGTTGCATAAATATGCTACTACTGTGTTTTTTGTTGTCCTTGGCTGGGGAGGGAGATGCTTGCGGGGGGTGGGGGTGGGGGGTGTTTTAAGTCTTCAGGAGCAATGGCATCCTTAGCTTACCTTTTGATTTTCATTCTCTAAAAATGAATCCCCAAACACCTACAATTTTGTTTTGTAGATATCCAAGACTTCAAAAATCCCCTTTTTACCATTCTACTTACCCGTAGACAAATTTCTAACTTTAGCTTTCATTTCCATGATTTCATTTACACTATGTATCTCATGTATTTTCAACTCTGGCAATATAGCTTTTTGGTGAAAATTCATGATCTAAATTGTTTTTATCTAATAGGAATTTTGTGTCTTTTGAAGTGCTTTATTCCTTTCAGGTTAGTGACATACAGGTTTGTCAGTTTATTTTCCTCTAATGGAAAATGGGCACTGCCTTATAGAGAGGGTACTATGATGTCCAGCATAGAGGCAGCTTGTACGTTTTTTTTTCCTTTTCTGTTTTGTTTGTTTCTCCATTCTTTTCTACATGTTACTGTGTCTTTCTTATTCTCTCTTGTATTTTGCCAACTGTCAGGTCTTTCACAATTGTACTATTCTTCTTGTCTTACTCTTCTCATTCAGATATTTCCTTTTCAGCATAGAAATGCTTATTTTCTTTTATACCTAGACTGTAATGCTTTCCTGCTGCCTTGAAGGAGACCCACTCCTAATTCTTTCTTCTCATCTTGTCCTTGTCCCAGCTGGGTGATGTTTTTCTGGATGTGCTTCCTTTAAGAGATAGGGTGGGAAGAGCACAACTTTCTCTCTGTATTCTGTGTTCAGTCCTTCCGCTGCATTATCTATTATTGGCAACAAAAGTGGTCATCCCCTCTAATTGTCTAAGCTGCAGTGAGGCAGCTGCTGTGAACTTCTTTGGGCAACTGCCTAACCCGAAGCGTTTGCAATCGCTCTCTGGGGCACACGTGACACGCACAGTGTCTAGTCACTGGGGCAGGTACAGCTGACTCCTTCTCTCAGGCTGGCATTATCCAGTCCCCAACCACTCCAGAGCTCTTGTGCTAACGCTTACCCTGCCTTCAGTGAGGTCACAGGCGCACTCTAGCAGTTCCTCTTTTGTTCTTTCAAAACGCTACCAAAAAGACTTCCATCTCTTCCACATCATACATTCACTAGAGTTTGGAGGAAATGTTCCTTGGTTGTCATGGCTGTACTCAACCTACATATGTGAAACTTTGTTTTCTGTTTTCCCTTTGTTTATGCAATATGGTACTTTAATGTTGCTACATTTAACGTTGTTTCTTTTTCCCCTTTGTGCATGAAATACCCTTGTTAATGTACATACCCTCAGTACTCCAAAATTTGCTTTGTATCTTTCTTGTACTGATCCCCTAAATTATGGGAAAGGGACAAACAGGAAGTCTGCAATACGAAACGAACACCATCTTGGCCTTTTTTCCTTCTCCAGTTTCTGATTTGAATATCTTTTTAATTTTAATCTGACATCCATTTTAATTCTCCCCTATTATGCACAATATTGGATGAGTGCTACAGAACTATTCTACATCGTCATTGTATTTATTTATTAATTATATCAAACAGTGGCTTTTTTTTTAGAAAGATAAAATCAAAACACAAATATGAGCTAAACACTAGACCAGTGATTGGTCCCATTTCTGCAAAATGTACTTTTTTTTTTCCCTTCCCCCAAGGACAGAAGCACAAATCCCCAAAGTAATTCTCCACTGTCAAGATCTGCAAGCCATGCTGCGTGCTTGCTGTTCAAGCGGAACAGAGGACAGTACCATATCAGTTCTTTTTCCTACCTGGCTGTAGAAAACCCAAATATGGCTCTCTTTCTATACCCACCTCTCTCTTAACACTAAAGTAGCTTTTGTAGAAAGTATATAGGAGGAAGGAGATTAGAAGCTGAGAGAAGTGTTTTATTTTTTTTTTAATTTCAATTTTTTAATTTGCCAGCTGAGGACTATCAAGTAGCACTGGAATATCTTCATGCAAAAACAAAGTCTTAATTGCTACCTTCAGTTCCTACTGTGTGTCAGGAGTCCAGAGACTTTTCATAGTTTGTCTACCTATCAGTCAAAACATCTCCAAAAACTGTTCTGCTCACCACTTTACTGCCTGATGCTCTCAGGTACAGCTGTGTTTTTCCTGCTTCACTCTCCTACCTTGTACTGGAGTCTCCAGGCAGTGATCAGCAGACTGCCTGAAGCAAAGAATTTTGGATTAATAATAAAGCTATCTTTTAAAGTTTCTTTTTTTTGCAATTAATAAATGATTTGCTATATGAAGATTATTTCCTTCTATTCTATACTAAGGAAGAAAACAGGGCAGAGTTTCCATGTTAAAATATATTTAAACCCCACAGAAAGAAATGGAAGGAACACACTCTGTTTACTAAGATGTACTTTATTCTGCGTTATTTTTACTAAAATCTTGATGGTTTTTCATTCCCTAGAAAAGTACAGTTACACAGTTAAGACTGAATATACCAATTCAACCGTTTTATGCAGTAATTACCAAAACTAGTTGAGCTGAGTGAGTTAGTTAACTTCTAAAACCCTCAAGTTAAGAAGTCAAAATTTAAGATTCCTGTTTAAGAATTCAATTACTCAGGTTTTTCACTACTTGGAAAAGGAAGCTACTAAAGTAAGTTTCTACCAGAAAAACCAACAGTGACCATAAAAGGAGACTATTGTTTGTTTCCACTATTATTCCAATGCTTCTATCTTTTGGACAGATAGATACACCATTACAATATTGAAAGTGCAGTGCCTTTACTACCGAACTATAGAAAAAACTGCAGTTAATTTTAGTTTGGAAATAGTATGACCAAGCAAACATATACCAACTTGTACTGTTTATGGCAAACATCTAGTTTGCGTACATTTATTTTAGCCTTTTTAAAAATAAATATATTTTATTTTTAGGACCGCTAATCTTTCTTTCACAACGCGTAACACCAGAAGCCTCACCTTCTGTAGTTCAGTCTGCTGAATCATGTCATTCAATTTAATTGGCTTCTCTTCAGCCTGGAGTTGTCGGCGTGTCACCCAAGCACAGGGCCTGCTTAGACAGTTAGTGTCGTCATCTTTAATCTTGTTTAGCTTCTGTTGTAGTGGTTTCGGTGAAGGCTTTGGTACGTGAACCTGTTGATATACAGATAGTAATTCTGTATAGTGAGAAAAAAAAAATGCAATAGTGTTCACAATTGTCACAGGTACCATTCCAGTCCTTGAACCTGTCAGGTTTGAGATAGATGAGGATAATACCCTGATTGCACTTATTACCTAGGCTTTCCTAAAGAAACTGAGTTTTGAGTTTGGAATAGTACAGTCTAGCAAGCATATGACAACTTCTGTTGTTTATGACTTAGGGTTTGGCTTAAAAAACAACCAAACAAAAAAAAAAACCCAACCAAACAAAAAGCACTCTTCCTCCCTTCCCCACCCCAAAAGGCAGGCCGCGAGCTATCACAGCAGATAGATAGCCTCTCTGGGGATTCCATGCATTACTGTAGTGCCAAAATCCTCACCTGCTGAGGCTCTGTTTGGTGAAGTGTTGTGTTTAATTTAGTTGGCTTTTCTTCATCTTGGACTTGTCTGCGTGTTACCCCAGTACAGGTTTTGTTTTGACAGATATATTCTTCACCGTCCATCCTTTTTTGCTTCTGTTGAACTGGTTTTGGCTTAGGCTTTGGTAAGCGAACCTGTTGACGTACAGTTAACAATTCTGTATAGGACAACACTCCCAGTGTTTCACAAAGCGAAACCAGTACCAGTAGTTCAGTAGAAGTTCAATACCACAAATAAATATAAAATGAGAGTAAGATTATACAATCATCTCTCTCAAAATAATTGTTTTTAGCATTTTAATTAAGTATTTTCTTCACACAATACAAAGAGCTATGCTAGCTGTGCTGTATTTGGGAAGAATGCTTCAAAATAAACTCAGGTTTATAAATCTGAAAACCTTCGTTAATAACCTTTAGTGGGAACAATGCCAATGAGTCACTGTATCATTATTAAGGAGAGCTGAAAACATTCCTTATCACTGGAATGAATCAAATGCAAACTGTCTAAAATAAGATAATCACTAAGTCCTCTGATTCAGGTAATCTAATTAAGGGTCAAGTCTTCTTATATTCTTTTACAGTCTTCTAAAATGTAAAGGGGAACATGCTCTGAATAGCTGCATGAGTTAATACAAGTTTTTTTCCAGTGCTGCTCCAAGCACCAAGTATCAAATGAAGTCTGTTTTTGGCTTTTGTAACTTGGAAGACAAATGTAGCCAAAACACAGGCTGTATGCCACATGCCTTTGGTACTTCTGGCACACTAATACTCTGTAACTGTAATGTTTGCATATGGTCCTCTATGCAGCAGCTGTATCTGAATGCAGCAGCTAAAAATGAAGTAATACGCTTCCTTTTTATACTGCAAATTAAATGCATACAGGAGATAGACATTGCACAAACTAAATACTGTTGAAAACACTAGTGGGCACTCACTTATGTCTACTGTCTAATCCAAAAGACCTTTTAAGAATATAACCCATAGTTCTACTCTGTCAAAATTACTAATGTTGAGAAACATAAAGGTATGTCTGTTTGTTTTAAATAACTCAACCTAGTTTCAAACAGTCTAGCTCAGGACATAACACTGTAGATAGCCTTGAGAAATGAAATTATTTAGCTGAGCCTCCGTGCCACACTGACAGTTACGTGAATGCTGGGGCCCAAGCTGTTTTCCCTGTGTAGCACTGTACTGCATCATGCAAGAACCAACAATCATCTTGTTGACAGCTAACTCCACTATCTTCACGTCATGTACATGCTTTAAATGACTAAATCACTTTCAAAACAAGACTTACAGCATTTTCGAAAATATTTACTCTATGCCTCAAGATTACCATATTCTATCCTAATAAAAATTACAAGTTGGTATTGACGCAAATTTTTTTAATAAAATGTACAAAATTGAGCAACTAGTCTGCTGGCCTTACCGTATTTCATTTGGCCATAATCCTAGCACTTTCACTGTAGGTTAAAAAGCTGAAAGTTAATTTATCCAGTGTCAAAACCTGGTAAACAAATTTGAGAAATAACTCAATGTTTTATCATCTGTGTTTGGTGGGCAACTGAAACAAAGAGCCAGGATGTAGCCACTGTTATGCCTTTTATGTCACGTCAACATTAGATTTATGTGCTATACAGGGAGCTGTATCCTGAAGTACATGATTTGTAGCAGTTCCTCTTGACATCATCTTCAAGGAACTAATGCTACAGGATCTGCTTCCTGGTACCTACGGGTGTTTACTGGTCTTCAGAAGGGAATTCACTGAGATCATCTCTTGCCTGCACCAAACTGTTACAGGTGGAGTCAAAAAGGTCATCTAAGTCAGTCAGATCCTGCTCATAGAAAGTGAGGAGACAGAGGACTGATTGTACCGGCTCCCACTATTCTTAGGTTGTCTCTAATGGAAGAAGTGTTTGGTGAATAAAAGGAGAGGTGGAAAAGGGAATGAAGAAGGGCGGAGATGAAAAGAGTCCAACCTAAGATAACTACAAAGAGTGCAATGAAGAGATGCAGTGGGAAGTGCCTTCCTGCCAGCGAACACTCAGGACTGTAGCACCAAAGCGCACCAGGCCTTGAATATGCTCCAAGGCCAGCAGCCACAGACTGAAGATCAGATTTTCTGAAAATAGCAATAGATTTAAGGAAAATTCAGTTATCATCTGTTCTACTTGCATTTAGTAAAGAAACTTCATTAAAGTGCTGCTCAAATCTATTGCATAACCCTAGAAATCTTTCTGTGGCTGTTTTGCAGTGAATGTGAAAGGAAACTTCTCCTGGTAAGCAGGACTAGCTAAAGAAACATACTGCAAACACAGGTTATTGTTGGAGCACTCTTCGTATTCCAAGAAGCAGGACAGATAGATAGAACGTGAAAAATCTCTCCAAAATAGATGCCTAGATCTTGGAAGTTGCAGGCTCTCTCTCTGATCTTGTTATTGGCCATCAGAAATAATTCTGCCTAGGCCTAAGGAACAAAAGGGGTGGTGATTGGCACTTCTTACTCATAGATTTTGAAGTGGGGTTGTGCACTTGCAAACAACAAGTGCTACAGCAGCTCTTAAGATCTGAAAGCTCAGCATCCATCTTTCATGCTACTACACTATTTTAGGCCAAGTTTTAGGCCAGGCAAAAAACTCGAAAGAATCAGAAAGTGTTGTGCTTTGAGACTCAGAGATAAAATTAACAAAACACATTCCTTTCACTCCTGAAATAAACAGTCACTCGGTAAAATAAATCTTTGGTCCAACAATCGAGCGATTTAGTTTCCCCTAGTAATCCAAAAGTGTGTATGAATATATAAGAATGATTTTTTCTTCCAAATGTCAGAATGATTTCCCTTTCAAATTTCAAGTTTATATTTAAAACTTGGAGTAAAATTCTAATTTTGGTATTGCCAGATTATCTGCAATTTTTCCTATTACCTGTTACATGTTACTGTTTTTTAAGCGGACGTTTAGGTATTAATAAAAGAGCAAAGAGAATAATCTTCACACAGTTGGTTCAGCATCTTTTTTATGAAAGGTTATGCATTCGGTTGTCTCCGCAAATGGGGAAAAAATAAATTTACTATTCAGTGTCTGATTTTAAGTAATAAAGATTCTTGTGAATCAGAACTCCAACCAGTTCAGTTAGATAAGTTAGCAACTACTTGATATTTCAGTTAAGTTCAAAAAACTGTACAAACTAAAAAAAAAAAAAAAAAAAAAACTTCTGAAATTAGTGGAGATTAAGCAGTGACCATCATAGCAAGGGAAATACTGACACTGAAATAGCTTTTGGTTTTCTTAAATGAAAAAAAAAGTGATAAAAGCACAAAAGTCAGTAAAATTGCTAAAATAAGTATCTGTAATTACCAAGATCAAAATCCAGTGGGTTTTTACTAAACATGAACTTTTGTTCTGCCTTCTGTAATACGTAAATAGTGCTGACAATTGGTTTGTGAGGCACTTGCTACAATAAAATGTAATTGTATCATGAGAGAAAGGTGACAATCAGGAGATCATGAAAAAATTACATATTCTCACTGGTGGTTAATTAGCCATGCAAAACCCCCTCAAACAGATATTCTCTTCTATTAGGAATGATTACTATGCA